TTTCTTACATGGGCGGTTTTCAACTTACTGGATTTTCTTCTCTTTCATTTCTGTGATCTCACACCGACCCTGCAGACGCTGAGCAGGACCGAGAGATGAACTGAAACACCAGCAGCTTTATCCTGTAATGGAGCTCAGTGACTCACAGCAGGACGGCGGAGATGTTTCTCCTTTTCACAGCCTGCTTGTGCCTCAAAATGACTTTTCCCAGAGCACGATATTTTACATATTTCATTTCATTTCCACAGTAACACAGTCCAACAGCGACACAAGCGCACTCCACCTCCATCTCTTCGCAATAAAACAATGAATCCAAACAGGATAAATAAAAAGCCAGCCAGAGCAGCAATGCAGCCTTTAAAAATAAATATGAACCTTAATTAATTCTAATTTATGGACAGTGGATGTGACAGGAAAAAAAAAAAAAAAGACCACTGAGTCTTTGCAGGAACCCGTCAGGGTCGAAGCCAGAGACTGATTTAGCTGCTGACAGTCTGCCGGTGGGACGTGACAGATAACGACAGATCAGCGGCGGAAACTGAGAATCTTTTAATTATCAGGCAACGAGACGAGTCATCGACTCACACAGCTCGGCTAATTATTCACCGAGCCACGAAACCCAGCAGCTCACCGTGTATGGGCCGGAAATGTGCACTCCTAAATTAAACTATAAGTAGCAGCCGGCGCCACCACGATGATTATGGAGACATCCAAGGCAAGAAGGCAACTCAGAGGAAACGACTGACGACCCCACATCTTTAAAAATAAAAAAGCCAAACAGATTCCACTGAAAAAGCACTATGAATTAAAACACAGAGTCAGCTCGGCTTACCAGTGAAACCCCCACAGAAGCGATCACAGGTGAAGCTGACACACCTGAGCTGCATTTCCCTCTGAACAGGTGAGCTGCTCTCACCTTGATTGGAAGAGAGTAGTTGCTGGCCAAGTTGTGCCTGGGTCCTAGTGTCCCTCTGCACGAACAGTATTTGTTACTACCACAGGGATGCTACTGGCTAGCCAAGGAATACTAGGGACCTAATGGCTAGCCTTGAAATGCTGGTTATCTGCCTGGGGATGCTAGTGATTATTCAAAAAAAGCCAGTGACTGGCCCAGAAATGGTAGTTGCTCACCATGCAATGCCAGTGACTACCCTACGAATGCTATCTGCAAGTCAAAGAATCCTAATGACTAGCGTTGGAATGCTAGACACCTATCTACTGCTGCTAGCGATTGGCTGAAGAAGGCCTTCAACTAGCCTAGGGATGCTAAACTAGTACAGAGATGCAAGCTGCTAACCAAACGATCCTAATGAATGGCCCAGTAATGCTACTGCCTAGCCTATGCATGGCTACTACTAGCCTAGCAATGCTATCTGCTAGCCATAACATCCTACTGACTAACCAATGAAGAGGCTAGTTGCTAGCCTAGTAGTGCTAATGACTAGCCATGGAATGCTAGCCACTAGCCTGGGAACTTTACTTCCCTGCCAAAGGATCCAAATAACTAACCTTGAAATGCTAGTCAGCTGTGCAGGGATACTAGTCACTAGCCCGGGAATGTTAGCCACTAGCCAATGGATCATAATGAATGGCCTTGGAATGCTGGTTGCTAGGCTAGTAATGCTAATGACTAACCTAGGAATGCTTCCCACAAGCCTAGGAATGTGAAGTGATGGCCTTATAGCTAGTCTTGAAATGCTAGTCATCTGCTTAGGGAAGCTAGCTACTCTCCAAGGAATGCTAGCTGCAAGCCAAAGGATCCTAATGACTAGTCTAGGAATGCTAGTCGCTAGTCTAAGGATATTAGTGACTAACCTAGGAATGCTAGCTGCTAGCCAATAGATCTTCATGACTAGCTTAAGAGTGCTCATCACTAGTCTAGGGATACTAATGACTATCTTAGGAATGTTAGTCGCTAGTCTAGGGATGCTAGTGGCTAGCCTAGCAGTGCTAGTTGCTGCGTTGGGTGATTTACTCGTTTGAGAATCACTTAACCAGCCAAGTCAGTATCTGATGGGTTGTTCAGTTGGACACATGAATGACTTTGCTTGCCGAATGAAAACCACGTCTTGAGAAACATTAACTATGAGGCCTAAATGTCGTTTACAGGCTTCGTGGCCGGGGGATCAAAGGGCCATCTGAACTGTTCATTTGAGCATCCAGAGTTACTGAAGCATCACACTGTGTAGATAAACTGAAAACACCAAACAGGATGACAAATGAAACACCAGCAGTCTGGTTCTTGTCCCGTCTTAGAAGTGAAATAAGTCTGATGTCTACCAGATCTGCTCCTCTGTCTCCTCAGATATTGTGTTTTATGCATAAACTGTGCTGCACAGCCGCTGTCACTGATTGCATTGTTTTTCCTGACTGATTCCTAAATTGTTATTCAGCTCATTCACACCTCTGAGAGTCACATGTATGTTTATCAGGTGTAGCTGCATCAACCAGACCCACATCATAAACATCAGCTGACACTGTTTCTGCAGCGTTAACCTCTGAAACTGTGACATGAAAACAGATCCACGAGCTGCTGCGCTCGTCCATTTAGCACATTTTTTGTCTCGAAAAGTTACTTTCTGACTTGCAGCGAAAACAAAAAGACGTCTGTTCTCAAATATTAATATTCCAAAGTTGCATGGGTGTTTTCTAACACAACTTACGTGCAACAGATCCCGCTTTGTTCATCGGCTGCTGCAGCCTCTCCGGGTGAAACAACACATCCAGGACTCCTCGTCGTGCTGTAATGTGGTGGAATGACAGATTAAAAAAGCCAAACATTCGTGGGGATCTTAAATTAAAGTGTTCACTAGACTCTAGGTTTTCTTAGCCACCATTTTTGGAGTTTGCAGCCATAATGCATCTGTCAAAATCATGAACCTTTATCTTTATTTTGAGCACAGTTTGCAAATTTTGCATTTTTGTTCACATTAAAACATGAAGTTTGGTGACAGCTTTACCGTTGAAGCTCATGCAGTCATAAACTTGCGCTGGTATCATGAACAAAACATTCCATCCACATGTAGAGGCCATGGTTATCAGGGCAGTCCTGAGTTTCCAGTGACTCCTGTAACTCTAAATGTTCTATCATGGAATGACTGAAACACACGAGTCTCTGTCACAATAAAAGCAATCATGCATTTGGTTCTTTTATAGATTTATTTAATGTCTTCTGTTAATCTGTTGGATCAAACCTATACTTACAGTAACACTGGGTTAAACACTTGTTGGCCATTTTCACCTCATCGAGCTCTTTTTGTAGCCGTCCATGAGTTTCTACTTCGATCTTTGACTCCTCTGGACAGAATCGCTGCAGTT